GAGGGCTGGGGGGAGGATGGTAGGATAGTGAGACCCTGCCAGAGGGCTGTGTGTGTGTGTGTGTGTGTGTGTGTATGTATGTGTGTCTCAAGAAAAATTTTTTAAAAAAGAGCATATGATCCCCAGGTGAACTCCTCCAGGGAGCTCTCTGGGAGTAGCAAGGGTGATTATAATAATTTTAGTAATATAGGAGTAATTATAATAATAATGATGGCAAACCGAGTGCTGGCTGTGTACCAGAAGTCTTAAACATTTTACAAGTGTAATTTTACTTAATGCCCCAAGCTTTACCAGCTGCTGCTGTTATAAGCGTGCTTTACACATGAGGAAGGGCAGGCTGTGTGAATGCTGCCACGTGGGTTAGCACAGGGATGGGGCCGGGCTGGCCAAGGCTGCACCCTGAGGGACTAGAATCGCAGAGAGCTTGTGTCACAGCACCCTAAGTTCCCTGAACTGTTTCTTAGCCCTTGCACGCCATGGCGGTCATTAGAATGTTTTGTACGTTTTTCTCATTATAAAAATAACATGTTTATTGTAGAAAATGTGAGCAGCGGAGAGCAGGGAAATAAAATCACCTACAACCCCTCTCATCCAAGATGGCTCCTGCCAGCAACCGCGGAGTCCCTGGTGATCCTTATTCAGATCGCACACACTGTGCATATGGAGAGCACGTAGTGTGTTCTTGCCATTCAGAATGGGGGGTAGGATCTGGAAGCTGACACTGCACTGCTCAGAGTGGTGCTGTCCCCTCACTTTGTTCCCTGGCACTGCTGTGGAGCTGAGCCTGGCATGGGTCGTTGGCCAAGAGCAGCACATGGGGATAGGGCAGCAGGAGCCCGAGGGGACCGAGTTGGGACAGCAGTCTCAGAGCGCAGCTCACCCGCCAGCTCTGTCCTCAGCTCTGGCAAGTTCTCCAAAATATCTTCAGGGAACTTCATGTTCTTCCTTGTGAACTAGGCCCACAGCTGGCAGCTGCGTGACAGGCTGCTGCGCCGTTGAGGAAAACTACCCGGGCAAACGTGAATAGAAGGAGGCTGCTTCGTGCAAGCATCTTTGAGAAGCCTCTTACTTCGAGTTGCATTTTCCTGGACCCAGCTTAGTGGTGCTCAGAACTGCTGTGACAGGGCTGCCTTCGTCTTCCCTGGGCCTCATCTTCAGGAGAGAGGGCATGTCCTCTCAGTCTCCATCCAGATGGCCAGGAGGTCACAGGGCAGGATCGATGACCCCTCTAGGTTGAGGGCAGAATGCAGAGCACTTGGCTCCTTTCACTTCTTCAAGGAAGTCCCCAGCAGCACTGAGGCAGGGCCTAATGATTCTCCGGGGAAGGAAGGAAGGGACTGGTGGGAGCCCAGCCACTCAAGGCCCTCAGGGTCCCTAGCACTCCACTGCACCCTTGGCCAGTAGGTCTGCTGCTGTGTTTCTGTGTCACTTGGCTTCATTGACAGTTGGAAGAAGTGAAATGAAAAGTGACTAATTCTGGTATCTCTGGTGTCTTTGGGCAAGGTGCCAGCTGAGCTAGGCGTGGGGGTTAAAATGGCCATAGTCTCCCCAGTCCCTGTGCAGGGTTCCTGCTGTCCTCCCTGAGAATGGTGGGGGAGGCCCCATCACAGACAGCAGCACGCTTGCTGTGCTGTTCTGCTACTCATCCATTAACTTAGCAGCTTTACCCAGTATTCAGAATGTTCCAGGCTTTTTCCAGATACTAAGATACAGCAGTGAAGAAGATAGAAAAAATGGTGGGGGTGGGCGGACGGATAGTAAAAACAAATACATGAAATGTGTCAGACGGAGGTAAGTGGAGAGAAGCCAAGCAGGGCTTGGGCCTGGGGCACGGTGCTCATCTGGAACTGGGACTCCTCGAGGCATGGAGGAGCTGACCTGAGCAGAGCTCTGAAGGAAGTGGGGAGCCTGGCCGCATCTGGGAGGGAATTCCTTTCTTCGAAAAAAGGAGCAGCCCGGGTGGGGGTGGGGGGTTGTGACAGAGAGGACTGCCCTGAGAAAGCCTCGTGGGGGTGGAGGAGGGGTAGCTGGCCTGCAGGTGAGGTGTCTTCACTGCAGAAGATCAAGTCAGAGGGCTGGGCTGGAGTCTTGGTGGAGGAAGCTGAGTACTCCATTTGTTTTACCTGAAGGTGACTGGGTGTCACTAAGGATAGTATGTAAAGGTGTTACATTTTGACTGACGGGTGTGTCGAAGCTGTGAGTGCCAGCGCAGTGCAGAGTGGGTGGCTGGCTGTCTGGAGTCAGACGGGGTGGGTGGTGACTCCCTATGGTGGGGGGACGCAAGGCAGGTCAGGAGTTGCTGTGAGTACTGTCATCTCACCAGCAGG